CGCGCCTCGCTCAGCCAGTGAGCGGGAACCGGTCTGTATGTGGGATCCGAACCCTCGGCGGGAGCGCCGCCGCGCTTCCCAAGCAGCGCACCAGCGCAGTGCGCCACCGGGCCGGCCCTCGTCTGAATATTTCTAATAATAAAAGTTAAAACAAAAAAAAATCCTATCCCTTGAAACATCAGTTTTCTCAAAGTTTAGGACATGTGCCAAACAGCTACATAAGTGCTGGGATTCCAGGTATATACTTACTCCAGTTAGAGAAATAAAACTTATAACATTTCTATACCATATGGAGTCAAAATAGCGAAGTCCTTTCCCTAGCCAAAAGACTCAATGCCTTATTTTCCAGTGGATACTTAGGGCCCTCATGTCACACTAATCCCCTACACCCAATGAAGCTTATGTTGGAGAACCAGATCAAAAGACTCTATGCTTACTGGTACAAATGAGCTCTTAAATCTAACTTCCTACATATATTTCCTACTTTGTCAAAGTTTCTACTGTATCAGATCCCCCTGGCAAACTCGCTGTATAGCACTGTGCCCTTTAATAGAGAATTAGAGGGGCTGGCTGGTTAGCTCAATTGGTTAGAGCACCCTCTTGTAACACTGAGTTCAAGGGTTAGGTTCCCCATGCTGGCCAGTGAGCCCCCCACTCCAAAAAAAGAGAATTAGAGGTGAGGTCAATGATTCAGAAGACAAGGGGAACAAGTGTCCCCAGCTTTCTCAGAAGAACTCCAATTCTCCTCCCTGGAACAGGTTTTTGTCACCCCACTATGCCAAGGATGAACTTCATCTTGATCATTACTGGGTGTTATGCACTTTGAACTGTATTAATTCAAACAAGCCTATGAAGGAGGTACTCTTATGATTCACATTAAAGAGTTAAAGAAAACAAGTGACAAAGCTGAGACGTGAACCTAAGCAGTCTGACTCCTAGACCAGGGCAAGGAGCCTCTATACAATAACACATAGCAGTACTAGGCAAAAATGAAGAGTTCTTGAACTTACACTTGCCCTGTTTCTTATTCTCCTCCATCTCAATCCTGCGCTCTCGGCGGCGTTCCTCCCGAGCCTTCTTCTGGCGCTGTCTCTTCCTCTTCTCAATGTCATCTGCAGATTGGTCAGGTTATGAGAAGGCAGACCCAGGACGACATGGCCATTAACTCCTCCCTGCTGACTTAGTTAAGTAGCTAAGCCCACACCAATAGGCCCAGCTGGACTAGATGAACACATAGTGTTTCAGGAGGTACTAAGATGCATGATACAACGCCTGAAGTTTCCTCCCACACTGGGTTTCTAGCCAGTAGGATCCCTGATCCACACTATGAAGAGAATCACAGCAGGGGCATTCTCACCTGAGAACATCTCTAGGGTTTCCTTAGAGACCACAGGAGGCTGCAGAGCCAGTTCACAGATACTGAACTCACAGGTGAGTGGCAAGTGAGAGAGATATCTATGACGCTGTCGAACATCCTACATTGGAGAAAGAACCAATATTCAACTAAGACCAGGCCTAACAGCAGACAGTCTAAACCCTGATATCCAATACAGTAACACTATTTACTCACGGATAGCACTGGGGCTCAAAAGAGTAGTGCTCAAGTTATCACCACTTTGAAAAGCCAAATAGAAACTGTCAATTAACCTATAATAAGGCAACCAAATCCACTTTTTGGTTTGTGCTGCAAATGAGTGAACTGAGCCTGGTAAAAAATAATCTAAAGTTAATCAACTGTTTCTGATTTTCTAAGGTCCACAATTGAGGGGAGAGAACAGAGAAGATAAAGGCATATTTGTTGGCCCAAAAAACCCTGGGAACCACTGACAGAACTAACGATAACTAGTTATCATTAGTTAGATACAGCAGATTTTCCTAATGAATGGAGCTTGTTTGTTGGCCCAAAAAACCCTGGGAACCACTGACAGAACTAACGATAACTAGTTATCATTAGATACAGCAGATTTTCCTAATGAATGGAGCTTTACCTGAAACAGTAAAAAATGAAGTCCATCTATTTAAATTTTCCTTTATATTCTTTTTCTGCATATGTTTGACAGAAAGTTTACAGTACTCCAAGAGTCTCTAATTTTGAGGCTTATAATAAATTTGTGATCAATACAGGGATAATTCCCAGAGAGCAAAAATTCACATATATAAATTACCAGACAATAATTCACAGGTATCTGCTAAGCTAAAAATGCACTTCAAGAAAAAAAATGCACTTCAAGAAAAAAAATGCACTTCAAACCTATATAACCTAGCTAAAAACCTCCAAGGACTTTTTTTTTTTTTTTTAAACACTTCTCCCAAGCAATAAGGAGAGACACAAAAATAAACTCCATCTTGAATCTATATTCCCAAACTACAATAAATGAACCAGAGAAGCAGAGAGCAGTGGTAACTGACTTCACAGAATCCTGGTACAGTAGGAGAGCACCATCTAACTTTTAAAAAAATTCACAGCACCATCACTGACCAAAATAAACTCAAAAATACAAAAACTAACGGCCTTAAAGGTTTGTGAATTTAGGCTGATGAGGCCTACCTCAAAGAGATTAGGTTAGTGTAGGTTTCTGACCCTCTACTTCTAGAGAAGGGACCTTACCTCAGACATGGAATACCCAGAGATCTCCACCACAGTTGCTGAGATCTTCTCTGGGCTCTGCTCCAGGCTGCCATACTCCCGCACGAGGCAGCGGACATTCACAGGGTGCAGGAACATGTGCTGCCCATCCTCCGCTAAAATCAAGGGGCTCTATCACACCAGTGTCTTGGCCAGCCCTCAAGATGGGGGTACCCCTCATAGCTAGGCCTACCTCTCCTTCCCCACACCAAAAGCACAAGCCATGCAAGTTCCCAGTATCTAATGGAGACACCACCCTCTGCTTAGAGAGTAGCAAGTCATCTCTCTGAAACATCTCTGTGGTAACCCAGCCATCCTCCCCAGGGACCCTCACCTTGGTAAAAGTAGTAACAAGGAGAGCTGTTCAGATGTGTGAAGCCTGGCCTTGTGATGGGTTCCTGCTGGTTGGAGTCAATACAAATGGTCCTCTCCCCAAGATTGTCATCTGCTAACTCCGAGTCATCACAGACCTCTGATGACCGCTCAGGCTCCGGTTCCAACACAGCTTCCTCTTCCTCTACCAGAGGGAGAGCAAGAGGATGGGAAGGAGCATCCAGAGAACAAACTTCCATGGTTTCTTCATCAAAAGCAGACAGATACTCTAGCATGCCCTGCTGGAACAAACTCTAGGTCAACAGAAAATATATGACCTGCTTTCAAGAAGTAATGTGGCAAAGGTAGGCATAAGAACAAGCTCCCTAGATGTTTCTTAGCTGTCCTGATCACTGATTCAACACCCCTGGGGAAAGAACAAATAAGTACACAGGAAATAACAGACCCCTCTTTGCCCAAGAAAGTTGGGATCTTACAACAGTGCCTACCAGCTCAATAGCGGGATTTGAGAAATGGCGGCTATTTAGTCTGTAATAGGGACACACTAACCTCCCTGGGTTGAAAAACGGACTCCTTTGCCAAGGGAGCCATCAGCACCAGTTGTTCCAGAGCAGCCACAACACCAGTGACCTCTCCTCTGCTTTCAGCCAATCCTGACAGAGCCTCTTCCCGAATCTAAGGACATCAGAGAGAAGACCAGAGAAAGTTGTTTCCAGAAACACAGAAGGGCAAGGGGTTAGAATGGCCTCTTTCAAGATGAACAAAAGTTAAAACACAAGACTGAACAGGAAAGGTTTAGTTTAGCTAGGTACATAAAATCCTCAATCTTCGAGGAAAACACAAAGTAAAAAGCATCTTGTACCTGAATGACAGCAAAAGGTTCCTGAACAGAAATCCAAGAACACAAAACTAGTCATCTAGTTTTCACAAACTATGCTCAGAGAGAAGCCCAAAGTACGATAGGAGGCAGGGGTTGACTAACCCCACCTCAACCTGAATTGCTCTAATTGTATATAGCCTTTTACCTGAAATGGCATTTGAAATCCTGCTGCAATACAGAAAGAAGATAAAAATTAAATATGCAAGACTCTGCCAAAGGAGGACTTCAGAGTAAGATAGGAATTCAAATATCAGTTTCACCTCTTATTAGTTATGTGTTCCTAAGCAACTTACCTAACCCATGATTCTTCTTCCTTACTCTTGAAAGGGGACAGCTGTATCTACCACACCAGTATACGAAGCTTAAGTGAAATAAATGTAAGTACAACACTGGGCTTGTCACATGCTAATCACTCAATTAATGAAGGCTTTTATTGTTCTAATCTAGAGCAGTGGTTCTCAAAGGATGGTAGGGATGAGCAGCATCAGAATTACCCTAGCACTTATTACAATGCAAATTACTGAGCCTACTGAATCAATCTCTGAGGGTAGAGCCCAACAACCAGTGATTCTGCTGCTTAAAGTTTAAGAATCCCTGTTGTGGAGGACACATGACCTAGGGAATTCTATATTTGGGTAATTCTTGCTGTTCCAAGATCTTCAGAAGATACTGCTAAGGCCTGCTGGGTAGGCCATAGTACTTTCTCCACAATATCTCTCAAATAAAACACCTCTAAACAAATCTAAGAATTGTTCCAGTAGGGCTGGCCAGTTAGCTAGGTTGGTAAGAGTGTGGTGTTGATAACACCAAGGTCCAGGGTTTCATCCTTGTATTGGCCAGCCGCCCCCCCAAAAATTATTCCAGATAAAAAAAAATCCTAACTTGCTTAACTAAGGACATAACCAGCCTAAGAAACTCCACTGTCACAATTAGTTATAAAATCATTTTGACTTGATCCTTTCAGCTCTAGAAAGAGCTTTAAAAGTCTCTAGGTCAGCCCTTCCCTCCCACTATCAAAGCCCAGAGCAAACTGGCTTTTTTAGCCATTCCCTGCTATCATCTTAAATGTGAATTTGAATTAACTTACCCCCTCCATCCATCCATCTACTCACCCTGACACAGGTTTAGCATCTCTGGTTTTAAGTTTCCAATGCATCCTCTCACCTTGAGCTCCTGGATAGCTGCCTCAATAAAGCAGGACTCAGGAGTGTGCTTTTCCTCTGCCAGTTGCTGCTCTAGTGCTACTTTCTCTTCCAGAACTACCCGGTGCAGCACCTGCTCCTTAGAGGCCAGCAGCAACTTGGAGTACTGGCTGTGCTGTTCATCTACAAGAAAGCGAGCAAGATCACAAAAATGTAATACTCAAAGCCTGTGATGGTATGGCTAAATAGAAACCTTCATACACAGCCTTTTGTCCAGAGTGAAGATGGGGTAATTTAGCATAATTTTCATTAAAAAAAGATCTTAAAATAAGGTTTATAACTCTGACCCCATAATACAAGAAATCTAAGAAAATCAGAGATGCAGTCAAAAATTTAGTCACAGTGTTTAACTACAGTATGTAACATCAGAAAAGCTTAAACCAAACATTAAGTCCAACAATAAAGAAATGTTTAACTACGTGGTGGTATATTCATTAAAGAGAATTTTGTGGACACTAAACGGTTTTCTAAGAAAGGGGCAATTAGTGACATGGAGAAATACCTATGTACCATGAACAAAGCAGATGCCAGTCTAGCAAATCTAATCCCAATCTCACACATGGATAGAAAAAAAAAATCTACAGTTAACATTTTGGAGCACTTTTGGGTAAAAGGATTATCAACGGTTTATTTCCTTTCCTTCCCTCCCCCATATTTTCTGTACTTTTTAAAAAGTTCAAAACAAAACAAAAAAAGTTGAAAACAGGCCGGCCCGTGGCTCACTCGGTAGAGTGCGGTGCTGATAACACCAAGGCCACAGGTTCGGATCCTATATAGGGATGGCCGGTTTGCTCACTAGCTGAGCGTGGTGCTGACAACACCAAGCCAAGGGTTGAGATCCCCTTACCGGTCATCTTTTAAAAAAAAAAAAAAGTTGAAAACAACGTTATCTTGAGACCCCCCCTGAAATGCCCTATATGTTTTCCCACCCTCCCATTCTTGTCCCTGCCCAGAAAGAACCATTTACAAATTGGGGTTTTTTTCCACAGTAGTCTTTATAATTAAACTGATACCCAATTATATAATGTAGAGTAAAAGAAGAAATTTTAAAAAGTTGAAATGTAGAAATTCAATTTGTAAAAAACATCAGAATCAGACCATTTACAAATTTGAATACATATCCTTCAAACCTTTTTCTATACATTTATGTGCCCAAGTTCATAAAGAAATAAAGGTTTTTCCATAAATGATAAATTGCACATCTTGTTCTGCAGCTTTTTTTCCATTCAGTGTGTTTTAATCTTTCAAAACGTTAACACAGATACATCTACTCCATTCTTACTTTCTGTATAGTGTTCTACAGTATGATGTACTGTAATAACTAAGTCCCTTGTATGACATTTAGGTTATTGACAATTTCTCATTCCTTACATATTGTAACAAAAAATCCTTATACATGTGCCTTGGTAGAAATTTTTTATATTTAAGTAGAAATTATGTTTTTATATGTAAATATAAAGGCTGTTCATATTTTAAATACCGCCAAAATGCCCTCCCAAAAGGCTGTATCGATTTACACTCCCACCAAGAACAAGAGTACCCATTTGCTCAACTCCTGCCAAAACCCAGTGTTCCCAATGTCTTTTGTAAGGGGGAGTGCCAATTTGATGGGCATTTTGATTTGTATTTGCATAACTCTCAGCCAAGTTAAATCTCTGTAGATATTCAGAGGTTATTCTGATTTCCTTTACTAGGATATGTTTTGTCATGTGCTTATTAGCCCATTCTTCCACTAGGTAGTTAATCGAATTTATAGAACATCTAAATGTTCTGGACATTAATCTTTAGTTTTAAATGTGTAAATCTTCCCCTGGTTTACCACCTGTCAACTTTAAGGAATTTTGTCAGACATAAGTTTCTTTCTAATAAAATCAAATTTATCAATCTGTTCTTTTATAGCATCTATGGTTTCAGCCTGGTTCAAAAATCCACTCATACCTGAGGATTTATAAAGATATTATCTGCATCTACATATAAATAATTGAGCCAAACCTGAAACCAAGAGTTAAACCACTCTCTGCAAACTCCACGCTAACCTACTGGAATCTTATGACTTATCTGGACATGCTAGAAGTGGTTTGCCCAAAGGCTAAATTTCTGACACTAAAAAGATATATTCAATAGCCTTACAGGGTGGACCTTTGGGAAATGTCTACAATAAGGCCAGGCAGAAAAGCACATCAGCAATAAACACAGCCAACGGTTACTGTATCACCACAATCCATTTCTTTAGTTCTCTCTCCTATTAACGGCTTATAGGTTTGGCTGAGCCATTTACTCACCACTTGTTCCACAAAGTCCCAATTGACTAAGGTATCAGGATCAGCAAAATGAGCTGTGTAGTCTTGGTCTTCAGACACCACAAATTGGCAGCTAGAAACGAGGAGGAAGACAGGTCAAAGACAGACTATCAGAATCCACCAACAAGCCCTCAGCAGTCATCATCTCTTCACACAGAGATCAAATGCAAGCCACTAGCCATGGTTTGTGAAACACTGTACCAGGACTTCAGCCTCAGTTCTGAGCCCTGGCTTTAGAAGGAATCCAAGGACTCCGTGGGTAGAAGTCTAAATCCATGAACTGTTTCTTCTGCTTCCAAGCTCAGTCAAGTTCCCTATAAGCCTCCCTTGAACTAAAACGAACCCAAACGGTGGCTCCATCAACCAGAGTAGGCCAGATTTCCTCCCTCACCCCTCAGAATCTCAGAAAATGGCAAGGCTTCAAGACAGCAGAAAAGATGTTGTTGATCATTTACAGACCAGTTTATATAAAGTACAAAATGGTTACTTCAGTCTAGATCCAAGGTCAATTCTTACATTATGACAAATGCCAAACAAAAGGAAACAATAGGGAATCAGTACTTGAACAAATGTATGCCAAGCACTTCAAATTGTCATTCAATTTCTGGCTGGCCAATTAGTTCAGGTGGTTAGAGCACCGCCTTATAACACCAAGGTCAAGGGTTCAGATCACTGAACTGGCTGGCTGCCAAAAAAAAAATTCTTCTGTCTTCTCTGCACTGGGAACAGCTCTCCTGCCAAAGCCACTCACCCCCTGAAAGTGCATGCCTACTCCAAATTTGTCTCCACCCATTACTTGGTCAGGAGCACACTGCTGAGCTGACCCACTGTCAACAGTGGTGCTGAAACGACCAAGACACTGACAGATGAGAGCCTCAGCAGCTTGGCAGTCCCTTGTCCCCTGACTTCACTTGTCCCTAGTCATAGCTCCAAACCAGTGCCATTTCAAGGGACATCAACGCAACAGCCGAGTTCGATGGGGCTGCCACAATTGGGGTGGCTGGCTCTGGAGCTAGAATTGGGACTATGCTTGGGAGCCTCGTCATTGGTTATGTCAGGAACCATTCTCTGAAGCAACAGCTCTTTTCCTACACCATTCTGGGCTTTGTCCTTTTGGAAGCAATGAAACTCTTTTGGCTAATAGTGGCCTTTCTCATCCTTTTCACCATGTAAAGGAGCTGTCTACACTTCCCATAGTTCTTTCTCCCGTGTCTTGTCTGCCCTGTATGTTCCTTTTCTTATACCTCCCATGGGAAAAGTGTTGGCTCACAGCTCGACAGAGGGAAGAAAAGTACTGTATTAACAAGAAAAAAAAAAGAAAAAGAAAATTTCTTTTTTTTTTTCCTTTTTGTCTTTTTTACTGACCAGTAACGGGATCGCAACCCTCGGTGTTGCGCCCGCACCGCGCTCAGCCAGTGAGCGGGAACCGGTCTCCACATGGGATCCGAACCCTCGGCGGGGGAGCGCCGCCACGCTCCCAAGCGGCGCACTCTCCAGTGCGCCACCAGGCCGGCCCGAAAATTTCTTTTTTATAGAGGAGAAGGTGAATCTCAAAGTGGTTAAGTAAAAATAAATAAATAAATAAATAAATAAAAGTGGTTAAGTAAATTATCCAAGGTCAAAGGCCAAAACAAGATTTAAATCTGGGTCCAATTCTAAACACTTTCTACATCATCGATACTAAAGACATTTATTTAAGCATTGAAGTTGGCACATCCATGGATTCAACCAACTACAGATGAGAAATATGCGAAAAAAATAATACTAAAAATACAAATTAAACAAGTATAACAACTATTTACATAGCATTTACACTGCTTTAGGTTATTACAAGTAATTTAGAGATTAAAGTATACAGGAGGCTGTGCATAGGTCATATGCAAATACAGATGTCCCTTGGTATCCACTTGGGGAATTGGTTCCAGGACCTCCCTCGAGTACTAAAATTCTTAATAGTCCAGTATTTTGCATATAATCTACGCATATCTTCACGCATACTTTAATCTCTAAATTACTTAAAATACCTAATACAATGTAAAAGCTATGTAAACAGCTGTTATACTGTATTTTTTTTTTTTTTTTAGGAAATAACAAGAAAAAAAAAAAGTCTGTAAATGCTCCGCAGAAACGCAATTTTCTTCCCCTGAATATCTTCCATCTGCAGTTGGTCGAATCCACAAATACGGAACCCATGGATATAGAGGGTCAAATGCACTGTTATTTTATATGAGGGATTTGAGCATCTGTGGATTTTGGTGTCTGCAAAGGTCCTGAAAACAATCCCCTGTGGATACCAAGGGATGACTGTATACTCTTTAAAGTACCAAGAACATCCACTTGGAAAGCGGGTGAAAGAAAGATTAGAGATGTGATAGCCTTTAGTTCTGAGGGAAGAGAAGAGAAGGAAAAGAGAAAAAGAACCAGATCAATTCCCTTTCTACCTCTATCCCATGGTAGTTTAAAGGAAGCCTCCTCACGGCACCACAACTCCCCAGACAGACTCAATTTCACTTTCCTCTTAGGAGCAGCAGTACTTACTTGGCCTGTAAAAAGAGTTCCTTATTAAAAGGCTTATGCCCCCACTTGTTCCTTTTTCCCCAGCTACCATGTCCACTGCCTTCAAAGTGACCCGCCTGGCCACGGGGTTCAAAAGTAAAATTCAACAAGTGGTTCAGGTTGATCTTCTTAGGACCAGAGAATTGGGCAGGGCTAAACTCTGCCCGTTGAGCCTCTGCTACCTAGAGAAAATAAGAAAGAATCAGGATGACACCTACCGATTTACAGCAGAAACACACACCAGCACAACCTCTCCTTTTACACGGTTTAAAATATTAATAAAACACAGGCCTAAAGCAAACAATCTTCCTAGAAGATGGTAATGCAAAAGTCTACCCAAGACCCGAATGACAGTAAAGAGGGAAAAAAGATCCTTTAACATACCACTACTTAAAATGTTTAGTGGCAATTAACCATCAAATGACAATCCCCAGCATGAACTCTTCTAGCTATCTTGAAGCATAGATTTATTGATTGGATTAACCTTTTGACAGTCCCACAGGGCTCCTACACCTTTGCTCTTGTTAGCTACTTGTTCTTTGGTTTGTTTCTGGCAAAGTGAGTCTGTGGAGCCACACTCCAGAGGCGGCTTGCAGGTAGCTGCTAACTGCCATAGACTTCTGGATCCTGCCAGAGACCTCCTGTCTAAGACACACTGCTATTTGTTGTTAAAGCAGACAGAATTAGAACATGTAGGCAGACTAGCTCTGTGTCCAGAAATAAATCCAGTCAGCAGATTCAGAAACAGTTTAGAAAGTGGCAAGAAACCATATGAGAAATACCACTGCACACAAAGATGGAAGAAATCACATCAGGGTATATTTCAGTCCTCTTAACATTCCCAATTGAAGCGGTACACATACGTGCTATAAGTCAGCTAGCGGCATTTTCCAACCCCACTTTCTCTTTTAATGTTATAAACACTTTGCCATGTCACTAAATATTAGTATATAGTCACTTTAAATGGCTACATATCATTACATCACATGGGTGTACCATATTTTAATGCTCTATTGTATGGAACAGATTATTCATAGCTTTTCCACTGTAACAAAATAATGTTGTGATAAACACAATTTGGGATAGATCTTTGTGTACAAATATGTAGGCACCTACAATTATTTCTTTTGCAAATACAGGAAAAATTATTGGGTCAAATGAAATGCAAATTTAAGGCCTTTATTGTTTAGTCAAATTTAGAGATTTTTAGTAAGCAGCAGTTGCACATAAGGTACTTCAAAAAGCTCATGGAAAGACTCATTATCTTTAAATTATATTTTTCCACAAACTTTCTGAAGTATCCTCACGCATGATGTAGTGATTGAATTGTCCCCCCAAAACTCCCTGAAGTTTGAATTGTATTCCCCAAGTTTTATCTATTAGAAACTTAGCCCGCACTGTGACTGATAAGAGGGTGGGAAATCCTATTATGATAATTGAAAGGTGGAGCCTTGAAGAGGTAATTGGATTGTACGACCGTGCAGTATTAAAAATGGTGGTCAGGGACATGGTTCTGAGGGCTTTAAAAGAAGAAGAGAGTCAGTCAGTCTCAGTCTGTCTGTCTGTCTCTCTCTGCTTCCACCATCTTGCAATGTGAGACCCCTGAGTCACTGTCACCACCACCAGTTGGACTTGACTTCCCAGCCTCAGAAACTGTAAGCAATAAATTCCATTTTCTTTATAAATTACCCAGTTCCAAGTTTTTTGTTGTAAGCAACATAAACGGACTAATACACAAGGTGAAGAAACTAAAGAATACAAAAAGGGATATGGTAAAATGTACCTCCTATTCCAGAGGCAATGCATATACCCTCTGAGATATTCTATGCATATAGAATCATGGTATACGACCTTTAAAAATAAATACCAGTGGCATACCATACAGTTAGATAACTTCCTTTTTTATCTAACAGATCTTGCAGATAACCCCACATTCTATTTATGTAAGTCACAAGAAGCCCAAGACTTCCAGGCCATCCCTTATCTCTCATTTCCTAGACTCTCATCTCCATATGGCTCCCATCTCCCCCAATCAAGATAGTCTTCCACCCCCAGTTCTTTAAACTTAGATCTAAGAGTTTGTGCTCAGTCAACAGAATCCCCCACATTCTCAGCCTTCTATCTTCATCTTGTTGTCCTAGCCGGCCCACTGCCACTCCCTACGACACCTCCCATAATTCCTGATTATCCTTCCCACAGGCTGACCTCTCAGTCCCTTGACCTCTCCTCTTCCAATTAGCTTGTCCCCCACTCTATCTCAGCCGCCCACTCCTATGGGTGTACCTTCTAGAGCTGTGCTGTCCAATACAGCAACTGCTAGCTACAGTGGCCACTGAGCACTTGAAATGTGGCCTGTGCCACATGGTAAAATTATATTATATATATATTGTGTTAAATATGTTAAAATTAATTTAAATTCCATTTTCTTTATAAATTACCCAGTTCCAAGTTTTTTGTTGTAAGCAACATAAACGGACTAATACACAAGGTGAAGAAACTAAAGAATACAAAAAGGGATATGGTAAAATGTACCTCCTATTCCAGAGGCAATGCATATACCCTCTGAGATATTCTATGCATATAGAATCATGGTATACGACCTTTAAAAATAAATACCAGTGGCATACCATACAGTTAGATAACTTCCTTTTTTATCTAACAGATCTTGCAGATAACCCCACATTCTATTTATGTAAGTCACAAGAAGCCCAAGACTTCCAGGCCATCCCTTATCTCTCATTTCCTAGACTCTCATCTCCATATGGCTCCCATCTCCCCCAATCAAGATAGTCTTCCACCCCCAGTTCTTTAAACTTAGATCTAAGAGTTTGTGCTCAGTCAACAGAATCCCCCACATTCTCAGCCTTCTATCTTCATCTTGTTGTCCTAGCCGGCCCACTGCCACTCCCTACGACACCTCCCATAATTCCTGATTATCCTTCCCACAGGCTGACCTCTCAGTCCCTTGACCTCTCCTCTTCCAATTAGCTTGTCCCCCACTCTATCTCAGCCACCCACTCCTATGGGTGTACCTTCTAGAACTGTGCTGTCCAATACAGCAACTGCTAGCTACAGTGGCCACTGAGCACTTGAAATGTGGCCTGTGCCACATGGTAAAATTATATTTTATATATATTGTGTTAAATATGTTAAAATTAATTTCGCTTGTTTCTTTTTTACTTTTTAACATGGGAACAAGAAAATTTTAAATTACATATGTGGGCNGCTTGTTTCTTTTTTACTTTTTAACATGGGAACAAGAAAATTTTAAATTACATATGTGGGCCAGTTAGCTCAGTTGGTTAGTGTGTGGTACTGATAACACTAAGGTCCAGGGTTTGATCCCTACACCAGCCAGCCACCAAAAAAATAATAAAACAATGTGATGTGGCCTGCTTTTCTATTACGCAGCACTGCTCTATAGTCTAGACCATGCTGGTTAACCGCCGCACCTCTTCCTACCATCTTAATTCTGAACATCCTCCTGTCCAACCAGGAATTGACTCTTTTCCCAGGTTTAGTCCTGATGCCAACAATTCTTTACCCCCACTAGGATCTCCAAACCAGTAATCCAACATCCCCCAAATTTCCTTTCCTTATTTGGCTTGGATCCTGTGATCCATTGTCCCCTTCTGTCTGCTACAGTCATCTGGCAAAACCTTTCGTCTATTCCACACCAGCCCCAGAGCAGTTAAACATGGCTGAAGAACACAACCACACCCAACCAGTCTCATGGAAGTAGACCTTCATACTTTATGACCCTTATGATTGTCATACTATAATCCTATTATGCTTCTACAGTCCTTTCATTCCTTCACTCTCCCAGACAACTCCTTTGTTCCTCAAGCTTCCAAACTTCTCTCAGCTCAGCTTATATATTTCACTGAGAAAATAAGGACAATCAGAAAAAACTCCAAGATAAAGGAAAAAAGATAAAGAAAAAAACTCCAATATCTTACCAAGTCTTCCTCTTGTTACTATGGATGAACTGGCAAAACTCCTATCTAAGCCAACTCTTCCACTTCTGCACTAGATCTCAAGAACTCAAGGATACTATTCAGCAATTCTCTCCCTTTCCCTGGCATCACTTTTTCTGTCACCAGACCCATCCCATGTCCAATATCTTACCAAGTCTTCCTCTTGTTACTATGGATGAACTGGCAAAACTCCTATCTAAGCCAACTCCTCCACTTCTGCACTAGATCTCAAGAACTCAAGGACACTATTCAGCAATTCTCTCCCTTTCCCTGGCATCACTTTTTCTGTCACCAGACCCATCCCATTAGGAGAGACACATTTCCCTAATCTTAAAATCCCTCTTCACCTGACATTCTCCTCAAGCTACTGCCTTACCTCTCTGCTCCCCTTTAGAGAAAGCCACTAGAAAGCACCATCTATACATACTGTTTCTTCCACCCAAACCTCCTATTCTCTTGAATCTATGTCGACCAGGTTTTTGCCCTCACGACTCTATCAAAGCAACTCAAGACCAGCGACTTACCATCATATTTTCAAATCTAATGGTTAATTTTCAGTCCTATTCTTACTCAGCCTGTCAGCAGCACTTGACAAAACTGATCACTTTCTCCAATTTGCTTTCAGTTCTTTTCTTCCCTCACCAACCATTCCTGCTCTGGCTCTTTTGCTGGTTCCCTGGTACCCTGACTCAGGGCTCAGTCCTTGAACCTTGTCCCTTTTTGCAACCTTCACTCCTTAATGATTTATCTCAATTAGTTCCATAGCTTTAAACACCAACTGTATGCTTACAACTCTCTAGCCTGGGTCTCCTCCTTGAACTACAGATTCATAGTTAACCACCTAAATGCAAATATAACATTTCCAAAATGAAGTTCTTTATCTCTAACCCCAGCCCCTCCCCTCCAAAAACCCTGTACTCCTCTTGAAATCTTCCCCATTCCAGCAAAAGGAACATAAATTGAGCTCATGTCAAAAATATTACTCATTCTTTTCTTTGCTCAGACCCCACACCTAACAAGTCAAACATCTTGCTGGCTCTACTCTCAAATAATAATCCAAATCTGACCACCTCTCACTACCCTCACCAAGAATATCTTTATAACCTTCTAACCAGCCCGCTGCTTCCTTCCACTCTCCCCTTTAAAACTCCAAGTCAGATTCTACTGTACTTCTCTTTCTTAAATCCTTCAATGGCTTCCCATCTCTGTGAACAACAGCCAAAGTCCTTCAAGGCCCCACATAATCTGATCTCTCTTTCCAAGTCTTTGTGTTTATTTCCTCTCTCCTCCACCCATGGCAGCCTACTTGCTTTACCTCAAATATAAAAAACACACTACCACCTCCAGTCCCTCATACCTGCTACTCCTTCTAGCTAATACACTCTTCCTCCAAACCATATGCTCCCTTGCTTCATCCAGGTCTCTCTTCAAAGTTTAGGCTTTCCTTAGCCGTCTTCTAAAACTGTACTCCTTTTACTCTCTCTACCTCCCGCAGTCTACATTTCTTTTAATTCAATAAGCTCTTACCAGATTTATTATATATTAGTTTGTCTTTCTAAACTAGAATATAAGCTCCTGAAGAACAATGTTTGATTCAATGTGTTGTACTCCAAACTCCTAAATGGTATTTGGTGCATAGCGAAAAGTAAATTTTTGGCGAATGAATGAATCCTTCCATGAGTATAACCATTAAATCTGTCTTATTCTATAATGGTTACATAGTACGGAACATTCAAATGGCAGGATAATTTATTTAGCCAGTCTTTTACTGATGGGTGTTTAGGTTATATCCTAAATTTTGCAACTACAAACTACAAGGCAGTGAACACCCTTGTACGTAAATAAGTCTTTATGCACTTATAGAAGCATATCTAAAAAACTTCTAAAAGTGGAATATCTGAGAGTAAGGATAACTTTGCACTTGATATTTTGCTGGACACTTGATAGGGCAAAAATCATTAATGTCATTTTATTACCTAAATATTCCAAAGTGTACCTATAATTCAAGAGTGATAATGAAAGGACTATACAAATTAAGGCACCCAAATTTGCCATAATTTCTCACAATCCATGATTACAATGTCTTCTTCCTCCAAGGAAATTTTCAAGCCTTCAGGGGAAGAAAGGAGGCAAAGTTCCAAACCTAGTTAATATTCAATTACTCAAGACTCCTTTGGTTATCTATTCTCCTTCCTCTTGATCCCTTCCTCAACTACTGATAAACTGGGGAGGGGGGGAAACAGATCTCATGCTTCTTAGTTTTAGAAAGGACAGTCTCAACTTACATACCTCATCTCGTCTTCCACCATTAAAAGAGGAGCTAAAGAGTTTGCTGCTGCTGCCGCCACCCCTTTGAGGAGGCATCTTATTAAAAGTTTTGCTTTTCTGTGAATTGGAGCGACGGGACTGGTTGCTAAAATTTTCATTTTTGGGGTAGGAACATTCACGTTTGCGAGTATAACGCTTGGATCCACTTGAGTTCTTTCCATCTGAAAGCAAGAAACACAAAAGAATTACTAATACATAAACTTGGCCAATTGCTCTCCACCTCCCATCAATATTGGGTTTAAACAAGGGGAAATGACTTCCACCACCTCCAAGATATCTGGATTTGGGCCAGAGTATTAGTGCTTTGAGCAAGATAATAGACAGTAAAATGGTTTTTTTGGGAAATGTTGAAAACTAAGGGGTTCTTCCCTCAGGACAAATAAGAGTATAGATCAAACCACACAGATTCTCAGTTCACAATGTCTCTTTTTTACAGAGCTTAACCACTGCTCTTGTCAAAGTCCATCCAGGAAAAGTAAAAGGAAAGGGAACAGCCATTCTATGTTAGGGAAAAGTATTTTATCTGGAGGCAGGGCAGAAGATATTATTCCCTTTTAAATTACTATAGCATAGCCAGATTCTATACTGCAAGGTGTTGGCCCAGGCCTTAGCATATATATTCAAGAAGCATAAAAGCAAAACAATGTTTACATATATTCTAGAGGCCAAACTAAGAAGATATTAAATTGACAGAACAAAAGTTGAACTCTAAGAGCATATTAGATCAGCTTGAATTATATCCTTTTAAAAAATGTTTCTTGGGGCCGGCCCGGTGGCGCACTGCTACAGTGCGCCGCTTGGGAGCGCGGTGGCGCTCCCGCCGAGGGTTCGGATCCCACATACAGACCGGTTCCCGCTCACTGGCT